AATGTAACGGTCATCTCTTGGTGTTGTTTTCCTTGGACGGCCACCACCAACCTTCCGAACAGCTGTACCAGTAGTTTTAAAGGCATTCCAAGCACGAGAAACAACACCTTTGTTGATCCCGAACTCTTCGGCGACACTGGTCACACTACGCTTCTCCTCAAGCTTCCCAATCATTCTTCCTCGAGTAAAGTCGTCTAAATGATTCCTTGAAGACACGTTTCACAAAACAAATCACTTGCACTTGCAGCGAATGTCTTTAACTACGGTGCTCTTCATCCTTTTATCACAGCTTTGACCTGCGAGCGCCGACCCACAAGGTTTACGTACACTTACATCACCTACGACGTTTTATTTCTAAAATATGCATGCAAATAATCTTTTTACTGAATTACGTGCATATTATACTGCAATTTCATGGCTATCTTATACTTTGTTGGGGAGCTGTGGCCGAAAAACCACTTGTTGCTTAAGTTTTGCACACCAGTATATGTTCAAGTAGCTTACAGATGTCAGAGATTGTTCCATGAGGTATATGGGTCCTAATGTGCCCCATGAAAACAATGTTCCTGGGTGAGAAACCATGAAAACCTGGGCGAGCCCATTGTTATAGATGGAGGGTGCTCATAATGTAATGGCTCTTCGGTGTATAACCTTTATTTTTTTCATTATTTTTTGTATATTCCAGCACGGCTTCATGGTATATTAGATATACCATAATCTTAGTAAGAAGTTCAAAGCACTAAAAGAAAGATTAACTATGCCTAAAATATCGTTCAAAATTTTTGGTAAATTCAGAATTTACCAAACAAGTTCCATGACTCAATAGATAATTTCGATTCTATTTCCTTATTTCTTGTTGAGCTTCCATCATTTAAGTTGATAGAGACATTCTTTAAAACCACAGGAATCAATAAAATGAACATAATCTTTCATAAATCTTTCATAAATCTTTTAAAATACGAATTCGGTGATATGATTGCTCTGAATTGTGAATTTAGTAGAGTTGATTTAACTAATGATAATTTAACATATGAAACCAAAGATAAATAATTTATAAGAACGTGCGATAAAACTAATTTTGGATTAATTAGAGGTGCAAGCTAGCAAATCGCTTTGTTATAAAAATGTTTCAAATTTTATGGAAAACTCATTTTTTGGGATGCAGTGCGCGAACCGATATAAATTAGGCAGTTAAGACCGCCATTTCTTTGAATGTATTTAAAGCGAATTTGGTTTGGATTTGTTATCGGTGCATACACACACACACATACACATAAACCTTCTACTTTATTTATTTAGATCTACTTTTTGTCATAATGAGTATAAAATGTTTGAGTAAAACCAATTTGTTTACAATATTTGTACACAATAATAATAATAATATAAAATACATATTTCAATTAATGCTTCTTTATCTTAAAATTTCAAAACCATACTTATCAGAACACAGTACCATTTGTCAGTTCATGTTAAAACATTTGAAAGGTTGAAATAATTTCTAAAAATTCTTCCACTCTTTTTGTCTGAGTTCAGATCTTTTTATTTTTCCGCTGGCTGTTCTCGGAAATTCTTCCAAAAATTCTATCTATAGAAAGATGTAAAAATAGTAAAATCATAATTTGAAATGGCAGAATGTCTTAAGGCGGATATAAGATTTCAACATAAAAATCAACTGCAGACATTGGAAAGTCTAATGTAATTTATTTAATACTCAAAAACATTCAAAAAGTCTTATTTAAAACTAAAAAGGGTAGTTGTAACAAAACTCCTGATTGTACAAAGATGGTAGTATTAAATTATTTTCTTTCTGAGAAGGTAAAATTTTTTTTATTATGAAACTAAAATATGAATTTTGAATTAGGGATTTGTTCAATATCTTTCTGAAAATTTTATTTAGAAGGTGCTCGTACAAATTTTAATGTTTATTCCTTTCATTCTCGCATAGTCATTCGAGTTGAATAATTGTATTCTTATTTTGTTTATTGTATTAAAACACATAGTAAAACTACTTTACTATGTTCCTCCATCTTCATCGATTAAAAAACATTTAAGTTAATAAAATTTTTTGTTAGAATATTATTTTTTTATAGCTATTTTTATTAATCATTTCGATGTGTTTACATATAATAATGATGCATCTGAATAAATTTAGCGAGTATATGTTTTAAGTATTGAATGGATGAATAAGTTTTTAGCAATAACGAAAATAAGGACTGGGTTAAAATAGTTTGGAACCTCCTTCCTAGATTTTTTTGCAGAAGTTTTTGTTTTTGAAATTGTGAAAAATCCACTCATATTTTTGAGAATCTAAAAGGAGCGTTATATCGGCTCTTTTTCCAGTCAGGATCCTATTGTTGTCAATTTGTGAAAAAAAGTTTCTATTTTTGGGAAATAATCTGATTGTGTTGAGAAATATTGATAAAAATAGTTTTAGATAATGAAAAACAAAAAATGGAGTGGGGAATATGGGAAATATTTTGTGAAGAGTCTGTTTTTGAAGAAAACTTTTTTGTGAGCGATCCATTCAGGTTTCTTTTAAACTAACCCCTTAAAAGCATGAATTTCTGTGCTTTATAAAAACAACTTTATGTGTCAGTGACGGAGAAACTTTGTTGCTTTATTCTTTTTAATAAGTTAAATTAAAAATATAAGGAAATCAATGCAATTTTAGGATCTGATTTTTTCGCGAGCAAAGGTTATAGTAATATTCTGTTTACTTAGTTTTATATGCTTAAAATAAGCTAAAACTTTTAAGTTTAAAATATATTATAATTTTTCACTCGCGATAAATAATTGCTGCACTGAGAAAAAATGCATGGTCGACACTGTAGAATATGGTAAAATTTACGGTGATCACCTATATGGGAACACTCAAATGCTTGGTAATTTTTAACAAAGTGCTATCTAATGATTTCTTTAAAATTAACAATAAAATATGACTTTATAACATGAGATAAAATATCGCAAAATTTATTAACTTTATCGTGATAATATAGAGTATAGCATAAAAACCATTCATTTGGTTAAATTTACTTTTTAGTTTTGTATTTTTTACAATATGTATAAAATGCGTGGTAATAACAATAATTTTAAAAACCAATATTTCCAACAAACCGTTACTAAAGGAATGGAAAGATTCCAAATGATTTAAATATCTTGTAATTTAATTTTATAAACCAGGATTATGTTTCTTTTTTCTTTTTTAGAATTATTATTACTATACAGTATGGTAATTTTTAACAGCGTTTTTTTCCGAATAGATATACAACTTATTTTGCTTTCAATGAGTCATATAACTTTTTCATCTCAATTCAATTATTAATCAGTATTAAAATTTTGCACCGTAGAAAACTTTATGATGTCTAAACCAGTAGGTTTAGCTTGAATGATTTATACATTTATAACCGTCGTTAAACAGGAATCCGATTTTGAGTTTACGACAACCAATGTTCAACTCCGTAGCCTTGTAGTTCTGAACCCAATACAGAAGACAAGGAAACTTCAGGATTAAGTGTTGGATGAAATTTACCTACGTTAAGGACTTTTTCGTGGAACTAACCCGTATTTGCTCTATATGGAGAGAAAAACCACAAAAACCTACCACGGGACTCCAACCTGTGGTCCGTCTACCACTGAGGATATTTTGCATTAGCACTGTGGTCTGTGTCAGTCGGGTGTGGAATTCGTATCGACCAGCGCAGCTGGGATTCGAGCCAGGATCAACTTATCGGGAGGCAAGTGCTCTATCCCCTGAGCCACCACGGTTCTAACTTAAATAATTTAGAAAATGATAAGTTATATTAATTTCAAATAAAAATATTGCTTTAATAAATACATTACTGTTTACTCGGATTGTTAATATGGTTGTGCCGAGTAGTAGATGAATTTTACCCGGCAATATCGACCGGATATCCGACACTTTGTAGAATTGGAATTGATAATTTGCTTCCCGGGTAGATCAAGTAGCAGGTACATCTTTAATAATAAGAATTATTATTATCATTATTGTTGTTGATATTGTACAGGAAAAGTCTTAGTGTTACCTTTCTGGGATATTTGTAAGGTGCAGTTGAACGCTTGCAGTGATCTTGCAGTTTCTTAATCAGGCTTTCACTAGGTTGTGTATCATTGTTGAGACGGATAAAAGCTTTTACAATCTAGAACAAATATAAAGGAAATAGGAGTGAAAATTATTTTTCCATCATTGAAGAGTAAAAAAGAATATTACAGAGAGAGTTATTAAAAACAGCTAAAAAAATAATTCTTCTGTAGTCAAATAACTTGAGTAATTAATTCCTTTTAATCCCAAAAGAAATAAAAAAATCGTACTGTTAATTTCCTTTTTCTTAAAACTTACAACGTTTGCGACAATTTTAGCAGTCGAGATTCAAAATGATAGAAGAAAATACAAGACACACATAAAAACAAGCTTAATTTATCACTTAAACAACTTTTTTCCTTATTACAACTTGTTAGTCTTTGGTTTTCTTCTGTCATTTTGTGTTTTGACACCTATGAAGGTTCTGGTTTATAAAATCGAAACTATAGTGTTTTAATTTTTGTGTTACTGCTTGCGTTTTATTCACGTTGTTTATCTGCATTCATACGTAGCACAAATGATGCCCTATCTTCATTTAGACTAAGATGCTTTTAATACCACTTTTATCAATAGAGTATTATAGCATAACCTCTGTCAATGATATTCATTGTCAGCTGAAATAATAATTTGAATCTACTGAATCTTGGGATAGTTTCTTAAGGATAATTTTACTAAATATTTGCTTGCTTCACATCATCTGTAAAGAGAAGAAAATTATTTCGTTCAATTGCAAAACTGTCTATCACCAAAACATAAAATTTTCTGTAACACTTAGCCAAAATGACATAAGAACCCAAAACTTTTATTTTAAGAAGCATTAATGCAAAGCACAACAACAACAAAAAACTATATAAAGTAGCAAGGGCACGAAAAGAAAGGGAATTAATTAATTTTGTTACACTTTGGACTTGGCTAGTATTTCAACTCACTTTGGAGTTGTTTGGTTTTGATGCGAATTAAAACTTAAATTTGATATCAATACTGAGTTTTTAAGATTGCCAACAGACAAAAATGTTTAGTTCGGTTAAATTGTATTAAACAAAAATTGAAATCCTATAATTTAAGCGAGTTATATTTAAAGTTACTTTTTACTTCAGACAAGTAACCATCAAAACATTATTTTGAATGTTACGACTGACTTTGAAATTAATTTAAAAGTAAATAATATTAAATTTTGCGGCACAAAAGTTATAACATTTATATTTAAAAAAAATAGACTCTCGTGGTGAATGGTTTTAATGTTTGATATAGCTTAAAGTTGTGATAATGTGTTTTATAAACTGGTGATGAGTATTTTCTTCTCAACTGGTGATGAATAAATATTATTACGAAATACCCAAATATTATTTGACAATTACTGCTGTAAATTTTGATTAAAAGAAAGCCAAATCCAAGACTAAAAGTATATATGGTAAACAAAATGAATACTAACGACTTTGGCTTTTTTTCTTTTCTACATCACGTAGGATCACTGATATATTCTATATTCTTTTCTTCACCCCCCCCCCCCGACGCTTTCTAAGAAACCACTAAACTTACTGCCAATAATCAGCTTGTTTGCAACACAGAAAAAATATTTTAACATTTGTAAGAAAGCCTTAAAAAATAATAATTAAAAAGAAACGAAAAAAAAAACCCCTTCAAAAACAAGCAAATGTTTTTTGCAGAACTCCCAGAGTTCCATCTTCTATTCTTTTCCGCTGGTCGAATGTGACGTCACCAGGCATCACAATCATTTTTTTTNTTTTTTTTTTTTTTTTTTTTTTTTTTTTTTTTTTTTTTTTTGATTTAATAAGAAGCCCGGTCTCTATGAACTTCCTCATAGTTAAAAAATATATAAATAAATAAAACAAAATAAAATAAATTAGAAATTTTCAGTGTATAGTCACTATAATAGTTCTTAATAACAAGTAATTACTAAACTCTTGATCCAAGGTAACATTTGACAAATATTTGATGTTGTTACTCACCATCAGCAGGATTTTTTCGGTATTGCAGTAAAAAAAAGCATCGAACGCAAAACGACTTTTTAAACGTGTATAAAATGTTGGTTCGATAAAATTTGCCAAGATTTTTTGTATTCATTTGAAGGTAAAGTTTGTTTAGACCTACAAATTAAAAAAAAAAAAAGAATATCTAAAATTTGAAGAAATCGCTCATTATATATACCATAGAAATCAGCTTGGAAAAAAATCCATGTGTATTCTTTTTTAAATTCCCTTAAAAACTGGGATGGAATTATACATTTTAATTTTATGCTAGACATTATGAAATTTCGTATCAAATGATTGGTAAGAATACCGGTACCATAAGTGCAGCTACTTTTTGCCATAATATCCATTTATATATCCAAATCCATTTATATATCCCAAAAATATATGATATACCGTAAAATTATTGAATTACATTAACTAAATAAATATTACTGTAAAAATTATGGTACAATATTTTATGGTAATAAATTTTATATATTTTATGGTCAAATTGATTTTACGGATGATACACCCAAAACTGCCGGTACTGTATACTTGTAATTCGATCCGGAATTTTTCTATATTTATAATTTTTCGTTTTTGTTTCACGGGAAAACTTTCAAATCATGTGCATACTTTTTGAACTCAATCAATGTAAACTTATTATTTTCTTTATCTTTATTAAATTGGCCAGTTTTTAAAAGAATTTATCTCAATTCTTATCTAAAATTTCATCTAATACACACAATACATCCTCATCGAAATATTTGAGATAAATAAATATTCACCTCATATGCTAAGAGTAATGCCAATTTCATGTACCTCTAAATCAATCAAGATGAAAATAAATGCGCCTATCTGTGACAGATAATAAATTTATTCTTACTGCTTTGAAACAAGATTTTTGAAAATATATTTGATGATATTACTATTTGTAGATTCTTTTTGTTCTTATTTTCAAAAAAACTATAAAGTAATTCGTTTCTTTCTGGAAAGACGTGATAAAAAAAAGGAATTCAATGATCTCTTCTGAATCTAAAAATTATTATATATTTCTCGTATCTAGAGAAAGCGATACGAATGTTCTTTGTTTCATGCTATTTAAATAAGTTTTAAATTAACTGTAGCGTTATAACTGTAGCGTAATTTAACCGAGTGGCAGGCAAATTTAAGATGGAAAGGAAGATTTCACTCATGAAAAAAGGCAAAATGAATAGTAGGCAGAACACAGATATTTGATTTTGATTTCGGATTATAGTATTTTAAATTATTTTCTGCGCTACACGTCATAGTTTGAGTACTTTGCTCATAAGTATATTTATCCTACGACTTTCCTATCTTGACATCTTTAGTTTATCAAATCTATAGAATGTAGAGCGTGCTACATAATCACAATATATTTTTCAGGAATTTTTGCGAACATAAAATCAGGAAAATATTAGTGTTAGTTATAGTTCCTATGAGAGAAAAGAAATGAAAATAGTTTTTATAATCTGACAAATTATTATTAATGTCGATCAAAAAAACAAACAAACTAGGATAATTTTTAAATTTCGCAAATCACCCTCGTTGTTTGTCTTGATTAAAAGTTAGTATTTTGTGAATAAAATAATTTATAAAATGTGTGTTATGTTAACGTAAAAACATAAAGGTCGTCATTGGATAATTCAAACAGTAAGTTTGTTTCCAAAGTTTTCAAAAAAGATATCTGATTTCGAAAAGTTGACGCTTTATATAATGGATGTTTCTTAATCTCTGTTGGTAATGTATATTAGAATCCTTTTCTAAAATTAAGTTAGTAAAATATACTTGCCAGAGGTTTCAAATTGATATTTTGCCCGAGGTAAAAATAACATTATTAAAATCTGCCAAATCGTTTAAAAGAATAAAAACATTAAAATCGTTTAATATTGAAGTAAACTGAGGGAAAGAGAAAAACTATTATGAGATTGTTTTTCGATGCTTAAATTTCCTCCCTTCTCAGTAGTCATTCGTCAGATTTTGATTTCATTTTTATTATTCCTTTGCTCAAATATTAATTTGCGAAGTCTGATGTGCGTACTTTTATGACTTCATTTTCGACAGGGATTTAAAAAATGCCTCTAAAGGGCGGTGATTACTGATACGGAAAAATATTTTGGTGATACGGCGGTGATACGGTAAGATAATTTGATTCAGTTTCTAGTGTTTAAACATCTGAGAGGATTAATTTGATTAATTTTCTTTATTCTTGTATTGCAAACTTGAGATATAGGTATCATGAAAATCCGCATAATCATCCTTTTCCCTAAACATACTAAAATGGAACGTAATGTTAAGCAAAATGATTTAAAAATAATTAGTAATTCTTTTTTAGTCGCTTAGTTTATGACTGTTAAATCTATAAACATGTTTAAATGAGAGAAATATACTGACCTCTCCTCTCTGATTATCCGGGCTACTTGTTACAGCGACTTCTGCAACAGCTGGATGATCCATCAATGCATTTTCAACTTCAGTGGGACCGATGCGATAACTGAAAAAAATTATTAGAATTTTTTAAGTTCATATTATTGACTAACTGTCAAGAGAAATGTATTACCATCAGACACGTTATTGTTAGTTGTTATCAAACCTGCTGATTCCATTTTATGACAAATATGAACAGGAAGTACACCACTGCTCCATTTCGAAGAACTGAAACCTATTAAATATCACGAAAAAGTTTTATTTTATTTCATAACCGGCTTTGTACAGTCGACTCAATTCTGAGTTTGCCACTATCAATGTTCAATTTCTTTACCTTGCAATTTTGAGCCCAGTCCCGAGGACAAGGGAACTCCTGGATCAAGCATTGGGACAAACTAGCTTTGGTGGAGAACTTTTTGATGGCACTAACCATTATATGTGTTACATGGAAAGAAAACCTCTGAAACCTCCCAAGGTTAGCTCGATTGCAAGGGATTTTAACCTATGGTCCGTCTACCATTGAGGATATTTTACGTCAGCACGGTTGTAGGTGCGAGCTGGGAGCAGAATTCGTATCAACCAGCCACCGCAGGGATTTGAACCTGTTTTTCCTCATCGGGAGGCGATGCTCTATATTTTGAGCCATTGCAGCTTTATGAAACGAATTAATATTTTTATAGTAATTCTGCCTATATTTTTGTTTTACTTATTTTTACGTTTTCCTTTCGTTACTTCTACTTATTCGTGCTGAACGGTGGCATTTATTTTTTCATTACACCTGTTACGAAAGGTTCATTACACCTGTTTCAGTAGCGACCCGACATCCTCTTATTTAATATTCTCGCTTTTCTGGCAGAGTTTTCTTATTTAATTAAAAAAATTATTTTAAAAATTCTAAAATGGCAAGAAACTGATGTTTCTAACTCTTAATAAAATTGAAAATATTATGCTGAAAATATGATAAAACTTTTTGGTATCTTTTGAATAAAATATTGCTTTAATTTAATTATTTCAGCCTTTTTTCCTATAATTGTTAAGAAAAAACTGTGAAATTAAAATTTTATATTTTTTTCATTATTCTTTTAAGAAAATCATGGAATACAATATGAACGTGATTTGCGAATTTCTTGAAAAATAATTAAAATGTTAGTATGCATTTCAGATTAAATACAGTTATGTTTAATAGTTTTCGGGATATATTATTTTTAAATTAAATAAATAAAAAAAACTGATTGCGAAAAAAGAGTCTTTTAAGTTTCAGCATTATATCGAGCTTAATATGAAAAAAAAAGAATGAAACCAAATCTTTTCTCGCTATATAATTATAAATAAATTTTTTTCTCATTTGAAAGATAATTAAATTCATTATTTTTTATGTACTAAGTAAAGTTAATGAGTAGGTTTCTTGGACTCTCTTTGTTTTCAGAATTATAAATACAAACATGGTATTGTCGGCTGTCTGTATTAGTTTCATGGCTCATTGTATTCTGTTAAATTTTCAAATAATTCGGATTTAATTGAAAAATTTTACCTGGAGCTTTTATATTATTTATATTACCTGGAGCTTTTATTTAAAACTCAATTATTTTAAATTTCCGTAAAACAAAATTTAAAATATTTTGAGTTTAATTTTTCGTGAATAAATAATTTTTCAATTGTCAGTTTCAAACATTGTTAGCTCAAAAATTGTTGGTTTTATTGATGAAAAAATATATCATTAAATTATGTCAAGCACAATACAGAAATTATAATAACTTCGTATTTGGACGACTCTTTTCAAAATAGATTAAAAATAAATCATTAAAGATTAAAGTCTTATTTTTTAGTACTTTACTCACTTTTTGAAATGAAAGAATGAAATATTTGAAAATGGAGTTTTCTCATATTTATTTCGAGACATGTTAAAAAATTAATGAAAATTCGTTGTCATTTAATTTTTAAAGCGCATGCAAAATTAATAAAAACCATCTGTCACGAACTTTTTAAATGCTTGTTTCGCTAGTTTTTTACTAATATTTCTAAACAAATTTAAATTAATTTGAAACTAGCTATATAAAGTATTTATTTCCCACTCAACTTCATTTAAAGTTATATTTTTTTGTGAACTTAATATATATAAATGCGAATTATTTTAATGTGTTCATGCTATTTCTTAATATTACACTGTTAAAAATGGTTAAAAAACAATAAATTTATTTATTAATTTATCATCATATTCATTCATTACAGTTAAATAACCTCAAAAATATGGTATTCAAACTGTTAGCTGTAAGATAAATTTTTATTGACTTTTTTCACTTAGTATGGTTTAACAACCAGAATTTTATCATCATCGGGTTATAATCGGGTTTAAAAGTAAATTTTCACAAATTAATTACATGTAACTTTGTTTCTAACTTTTAAACCTGGTCTGCAACCTATTAACTAGATTAATGTAACTAGATTACCCAGACTGACTAGATAAACTTAGAACGTAATTCAGGCAGACATAATTTTATTTCATATTATAGATTATACAAGCAAAGTATGAAAAATTTTAAAATGGCTGATATAATTTTGAAAATTCATGTGTTTTTAAATTCAATTATGCGTTTTGAATGAAACTTTTACTATACAAATGGGCCGTACAAAATATTTGCCTGTAAAATCATTTCAAATCATTTCTGAATACCTCTTTCGGAACTAGCATACTTTTTTAAAAGAAAGAACCCAATTTTTTTTTTGTTGATATTAAGGACTTTAAATATCTATCATCACATTTGGTAAGCAAGAACAAATATTTCTCACCCGGCTGAGTTTATAAGGTCATCATTTCGTCCAACGAACCAGAAGAAATCATCTTCATCATAGAAGCCGAAATCACCTGTATGCAAGTATTTTTCAGAAAGGTGTGCTTTGGTTGCTTCTGGGTTATTCTAAAGTAAGCATAATTTAATGAAAAAAATATACGTAGTTTGTTACAAAGTCACACAACTTTGATGATAGGTAACTCTTTTTACTAACTTTAATTAACAATTCGCAGACAGCAAAGTTGATCCGTTTTCTTCAGACGCTTTCATATTGTTAATGTTATTTTTAAATTCTGTAATCCTTTAATTTATTTTATTTATCTGTAAAAATTGTAATATTCTTCCGTTTCTGCACCATAATTAAGTTTGACTACTTAACTATACTTTCAATTTGACTTAAAACGTATTTTTAAATGTTGTAATGTTACACTCAATAGCGATTAACTCGAATCATAAATAAGCTAAACGAGCCGTGTATTTATTTTCCAACATTAATTCGATTACAATTCTACTTAAAATTCATGACTTGAGTTTGACTTGAAAATTATTAAATATTACTCTTTACGTGTCATAGTACATAATTGGTATAAAAAATTTTGAAGTTCTAGCGAAAGAAATTTAAAATATGCTGTAAGATTTTTATCATGGTGTAGCGTGTAACTCATAAAGTATGTAGTAAATTTGAAAATTTATGTAAGACTCAAATGGTGTAGCCTAAAACTGGTTAATTAGGTTTATCAAAATTCGCAGTAAAAATTAAAGTTGCTGTAAGTTTTCTTTCAGAATGTATTCAAAAGGAATAAGATCAACGAACCAAATAAATATTGTTATATTTTCAATCACTAATTTGATTGCATTATTGATGAAGATTCGAACTTCTAGTTTGCTTTGAGTATCACCATTTTAATGGAATAGCGTGTAACTGCTTTAAAACAATTTTTCGAAAAAAAAGAATATTCTTAAAAACTTTTATCAGGGTATAGAGTACAACTGACTGATAAAGTTTCATAAAATTTATAATAAATTTAAAATATCTAACCATCTCATATGGATGGAAGAAGGAAAGTTTTCACAATCTTTGGACTACTTAAGTGTGAATAGGGGGAAAATAAGACAGATGTCTCAACATGCGGACTACTAAAAGATCGCATTTTTCGTTACGGTAAACTATGTGAAGGCTTTCTTTATTCTAGGTGATGTCCGCCCAGTCCAGATGGTGTCCGCCAGGTGAAATCCCGGACATCGGGGTCGATATGACTGGATATATTAAATATGTAACTTTTCAGGCATTTTTTCGTATTCAGAGCACTAAATCATGAAATGCTTTTAAATTTAATATAACTATTATAAATTTATAGAACCCGCGAAAACCTTCTAAAAATGTGATTTAGGCAAATATAAAAAGTCATATTACAAATTCATTTGATTTGATTCGTTTATTATCATTTGTTTTAAAAGAACACTTTTCACGAGAGAAGTTTGAAAGTCGGAAATAAATCCTACGTCCGTATTCTCAAACACACATTCCGTTTGCTGTTAGAAGAATAAAAAAATTCAAAAGCTTATTAAAATTTTTTTTTGATGTCTAAAAAAAGAATTTTAATTGTAACCGCACCAACTCACTTTATATCTTTTAAATATTGCAGGCGTACTTTTTCTTTCCAATACGATTTCCCCGATGACTTTTGGACCAACTTCATTTTCTTTTTCATCCACTATCTGAAGAAATATGCATTTTGTAATAAAATTTCATTATATTTCATAAAGTAACAATTTTAAAAAGTTAAACTTGAAAAAAAGTAAATCAAAAAAAAATTTCTTCGAGTACATTGACAAATAAAAATTATAATTTTTGGTACCTGAACGTTTGTATTGGTATTGTCGACTCATAGTAGGCCACAAAAGATTAATAGATTAATTAAAAACTGAAAAAAAAATGAAGTAGATTAAAACTCATTCATCGAATAATATTTTAAAAAAATATTTCATCAATTATATTGCTGAGTGAAAGTTGCATTTACTAGTGTTTGTTCTAGAAAATCCCAAACATATCGATCCATGGATATTTGAATCAACTAATAGCTGATTTTCTTTCTATGCTGTCATCGCTATCTGATGTAAAAATTTAAAATCATTTCTTCAACCATATTGATGAATTTCAGAAAAGTATTTTAACTGGATACCCGATAAAAAATTTACCTGCAATTATATCTCACAACGGTTGATCGTTAGTTTATACATCTAACACTTCTTTGAGAAAGAAGCCCAGTACCCGTCATTCTAACGAACATCAGCAAAATTAGTAGAGTTGACCGTCGATATTACATAATATGGATATTGCATAATATAGAGTCTATATTACATTATTCGTTTCTTTTAGATATGTAAATTACATAAACATTGTGGAATTTTCAGTAAAGGAATTTGTGGAATTTTCAGTCTTTGGCGGGATTTTTCGCTCAACTGTCATGGCGTTGATGTACAATAGTTGCTTTTTGAAACAAACTCTACCATTTTGTACTAGGTGGCAAAGGGCCGCACAAAAACCTCGCGGAGGCCGTAGGTTCCCCACCTATATTATAGACCGTATATGGATGTTACATAAAGATTCCTAACTCATTTCAGGAAACCATATTCTTTACCACGGTGATTACATCATTACTCTAAGGACACTTAAGTTCGACACCAAAACACATATTTCTTAATCTCTTTGAATTGGTGACTAGGGAAAACGAACATACAATTCTCTAAATTTTCTACAATGCAGCACTACAATATTTCTTCTCGCTGCGTGGTTCCAAGCAAATCGTATTTTCTAATTAGAAAAAGTTTAGAGGCAAACCTGTATTTTTACTGTATTATGTTATCTTTACGGGCATAATTTTTCTGTGAGTGACTGAATTATTATTTATCAGACACAAACCTTAATCGAGCGGTGAAACTTTTTAGAATGTGGTATTAATTTAAAAAAAAAAAGTAAAAACACGTTTAATATTAGATATTTTTAAAAACAGTAATACAAATAAAATAAACCGTGGTTAACTAACTTCTTAAGAATTCTATTTACATTGGATTTCGATTAAAGGAATTTTCTTTGAAACCTGATGTAAAATAGGAAGGAAAATTACGAAAAAACTCTGAGGCTATTTCCTTTTTTTATATAAAAAGATACTTCATACAGCCTCCGTTGTTTCGTTTCGTCCAAATATTATTATTTTTTTCGAAGAAAGTATCAACTACGAAAATCTTTTCATCTCAGAAATCTCATTTCAGAGAAATGTATGATAACTGAAAAACATACATAAAATGTAATTTTAGAATCCTTTTGAAAAACGAAGTAATAATTTTGGTAAACAGACATTTCTAAGAAATATTTCAATGGCGCTGAATTGGAAAACCTCTATTTTTTAAAACTCAACTCATGTTTTAAATTAATTAAGATGTAGATGAGTATAGAAAACTCAGAAACTTCGATTCTGCAGCGAATTTTAATTTTAATTAAGAATTTTGAAAGCTTTCAAGTTAACGAATTTTCATGTTTTTTTTTTAAATTTGATTTCCTCAGACGGAAAAGATGTTGAATTAAAATTATTGATGTTTGTAAGTCAGTCATATTTCTAGGAAAAGGTAGAAAAGAAATATTTACGTTTGAAAGAATATTTTGAAACTGGAACAACATAGAGAAGTAGATAATTAATTATGCTCATTTTTTGTAATCTTTCATTGATTTATTTTTAGACTAAACTCAAAATATAATCTTGTTACTTCGAAAAGTGTTATTTTTTGGCTCAATTGTCAAATTTTTTTACCTCAAATTCGCAACTATTAAATTTATTACTTTTAAAAATAATTAATAAAAATTTACAAAAAATGTAAAAATAAAGTGATTTTTTTTTCATGACAGTAAAATGTAAATACACGTCTATGAAATATCTTTTAACTAAAACTTTGTAACTATTTAAATTTTTTTAAAGGAAAATTGTTTTCTCCCAGGGTGAAACAGATAAAAGCATATTTAATGCATACAGTTCCATAAAAAATATAAACTTCTTGCTTTTCATGGTACAGTTAAAAGCTTCATACATTTTTACATATTTTTTTTAAAAACTTTCATGCACTTTTATATATTTTTTTTAATATATTTCTCATTTAATATGAGAATTTGCAAGCATACTTCAACATCAAAGAATATACAAAATTTTTCCCAGAAAGGAAAAAAAAATCTGTTTTGAGAGGAAGGAATGAAAAACATACTAAATAAAGAAAGGAAAAGCAAACCTTTCTGAGAAACTAAAAACCTTATTTTTTATTATATTCCGTTGAAATATTAACTTTTTTTGTATTTTAAAAAAAACTGCATCAAAATATTAAAATTTTTAGTGAAACGTGGTTAAATATCAGTTTTGTTCTTGATTTTTTGGATATATTCTTTTCTGTACAAATTAATTATTATTTAAAATGAGATTTTTTAAATTTGAATTTTGATTTTCCTTAAATGAATTAAAATGATTTTTTTCCTGTTTGTGGAACATAACTAACTATCAACTTACAAGAGATATCAAATTTTATGCCTAATATGAATATTAAATAAATATAAAAATCTCTTTGAGTTTTGAAATAAAATGCTCAAGTTCTATCCTGAAGAAGAAATTACGATTTTTTTAGGAAAAAAACTTGAAGAAAAATACACTAGTTTCTCAAACGAGGAGCAACTTTTTGTCAAGACTTCATTTTAATGCCGTTTTAATTAGCTCCCACAATTTATTTCGATTGTTTTTCGCAAAGGTATTTTTTAGCTTAATTCCATTACACGGAATCTTCATTTTATTTAAGAAATGTGCACTGTGTAATAAATGTGTTCATATTAGAAAGACATACATTACATTAGTAAAACTTTTCAGTTTTTGTGATTTTTAAAATGCTATTAACAAACTTTCTTCAATTATTAAGTTAATAACGAAATTATTGAATGAAAAAAATAACTAAGCAATTTTTTGGAGAATGGTTAATAGCTGTAACTAAACAATTTATAATTTAATACTAGTTGAAAATATTTGTAGCGATTTTTTTAATAATTATATATGTGATAAGTTTTTATTAGTTGAATCACATCGTAAAGAATCTCTAAACACAATTTCATATTTAATTGTTCGAAAAGTACGTGCCAATTGAGAAAAACGGTGTATTGCATATATCAGACTTGTTATATGAGAATTACTGAATGCAAATGACATGCGAATATATTCCAAAAGACGGTATGCAGAAAATTATAGCTGCCAATAAACGGATTAAAGACAGCAATCGGAATGGGTTATGTTTGATCAGGAAAATGCACTGTTTCATGCGTCTTTGATAAATCAGCATATGCTGTCAACAGAGCTTTGCCGGAATGATCTACTCCATTCACTCTATTCATCAGAGTTAGTGACTTCAGAAGCTTTTTTGGTCGCTGTAGAATTGTCTTAAATGAAAACATTTTGATTCTTAAGGGCGAGATAAAAACTAGTGCTGAAAGGTTTTCATCAAAAGATCTGAGATACGTTAAAATAAAGAGGATTTTTTTTAAAGTTGCATGATGTACAGAAAAGGCCAATAGAACAGAATGACATTAGTGATTTTTTGCTATGAAATGTATCGCTATTTTTATGAATATATTGAACAAAAAGGAATAAACTTCATGAACATTTCACAAAATCTTCAATGAATCCAGAAAAAAACTCTTTAATGACTATAGAATAAAACTTAGATGTGATGCTTTCCGATATCCATCTAAAATTAGGAAGAACATTTCGGACACCCCAAATATTTTGCATTTAAAACAAATATAATAAGTATAATAAGACAGCTAAAATATAATATAATTACGTATCATAAAAACATAATATTGTCATACTTTTACAACAAGTCCTGGCATGCATTTGCCGATTGAACCCATGCGGTAATCTATGCATTTACGTGTAGCAGTCATAATTATCTGAAATAGGAAATAAAGCATAGTTTATTAAATTTAAAAAGTTAATGTTAGTTATCGGTTTAGCAGGTTAAAGGCAAACAGCAATTTATTTCATGATCAACGACGTGATGATGGCAACGTACTCGTCACTGCAAACTGATCACATTTACTACCGACACATAATGGTACCAATAGATCTAAAGCCGGTTGGGCTTCAAGCCACCACACAGCATGGAATCCGGTACCTTATAATGATAGCTCAGTTCATTAACCACTCTGATATTGCTGCTCAATCATAGCTCATAACATTCATATAAAATTTATGCTGACGTTCACTGGCAATATAGAGTAACGAAATTCACAATATTGTGATATTGTATGAGGATTCACAACTTTAATAGTTTCGTGATATAAGGATACCTAATTTATTTAAAAAATTTGATATATACTTTAAAACTAANGATAAAGATTTTAAAGAAAAAGTGTTTTAATTTAGATAGTAAAATAGTTTCAGAATGAAATAATGTAACCATTCTTCTGCAAACACAAAGGCTGATCACACCTCAAAAATATTTATGTAAATATTCCAAATGATAGAGCATAGAACGGTTAAAAAATAATACACCAAAGCAGAACATTCATGAAAACAGAACACAAATATATCAGAGACAAAAATATAAAGGATGCCTATTCTCATTGGGACTAGAAATCGATTAACAGTAAGTTGTTTTGTCGCTAATAGATGGCGTTCAATGAAATAATTGCGTATCGTTTCAGTTGTTGGATTGGAGTTGGATTGACGCCATTATTATAAACTATTTTACAAAAATAAAAGTTTATCTGCTTGATTGATATCTATGCAAATCTGCTATTCTTAATCGTTTTACAAAACACGGATGATATTGTTAACTTTACTTTCTGAAACACTTATTTCCCTCATTCAAAACTCTCTGAAATAAACCCCAAGTCGCAAAACCTAAAAACTTTGCCATAAATAAAATAACACTTGTTATTGCTGTTATAAATCGAGCATTCTATGAGCGAACCTCACGTTTTTTTGTTTTGTTTATGTTGTAGAGTTGCACTTTGTAATCTGGCAATTTCTCTTTGGTATATCAGAGTTTATTTTTTAAATAGTTTTCTTTTTTATTTCAACGTTCACATTAGATCGTCACTTAAAACAGCTATACGTTCTTTGCAGTAAACTTTACTTTTAATTGGATGGACAGACTGCTGCCGGTTATTTTACTGTAGTTTTAGAAGGAAAATTCTAACAGCGAGGACGGAATCAAACACTAAAATTCATTTGCTCTTGTTCTAAGTACATAATCTAATAAGTTCCAGAGAATTTAAGATTTAAAATTTTTAAAAAATAAACACCATCAAAAGCGGTATCTCCATTTTAAAGTGGCTTACAAATATTTCTTGGACATGCGTGACAATTAAACAGAGCATGCTAATGAGCTTGCTCCGATAAAAAAAAAGCCCAATTTTAAATAGAGATACATATTCAACCTTTTTTTTTGCGTAACACAGAAGTACAATAAAACTTACTGGGGAGGATTATAATTTAGGTTGAATCGAAAAGCTTTAGAAAGCATTAGGAAGAAACACCATGTCTATGTTATAACTTTACACATCACAGTTTTAGTGAAATGCTTACAGTTTCGGTTTGTCCATAACCATTGTATATTCTTAACCCAGTTTTATCCAGCCATTTTCTTATAACTTCAGTATTCTGAAAAAATAAATGTTAAAAAGTTTAGTTTAATAAATTATTACAGTTTGTGCAACAAATAAATGTGCAAATATATCACTTTAGAGTGAAATATTTTATTTTTTACGCTATCCCTGTAATGATGAGCTCAATTTTCAAATTCATTTCCCCCAGACAATAACGGAGACATGCTACTTTCTTTATACACTATAAAAAATAACTGCGAATTCTACAAAAAATATTTTTTAGAGAAAAAAAAACAGTTGAAAGATAAATACAGATTTTTGCTGTTCTTAATTGTTACCCGCGAGCTGAAAAAAATACTCGTTTTTTTGTAGATTTTTTTCGCACATTTCCGGTCAGGTTTAGACAAAAAATTTGACGATAAAATGCTGTTTTTTGCAAAACAATTTGCTTCTGTTTTTCTCCCTAATCAGAAACGAATGAAAACTGTCAATTTAAATTCTAGTCTATGGCTCCCACTTTTGCTTACTGTAAGATAAAGTTATATTTTTTAAAATCATTTTTCGGTTATTTTTTTTTTACTTGTCCTTTTTTTCAGAAATTATTTTATGGTTTAGGACATCGTATAAATAAAATTGAGATTCGATTTTATTGAAAAGTAATTCGGTTTTGCGGTTTTCTCTCTATGTAACGCAAATGGGGGTTAGTGTCAACAAAAATGTTCCATGAAAGCTCGTTTGTCCCAATGAGTTCCCTTATCTTCTGGATTGGGTTCAAAATTACGAGGTTACGAAGTCATTAATATATTACTTTGATTCTCAGAAACTCAGAATTGGGTCGGCAGTTCAATGCCGATAGTGAAATAAAATAAGCAAATACTAGAGCTGCCTTGGCTCAGGGGACAGAGACGATCACCTTTCAATGAGGTGACCCGGGTTCAAATCCCAGTCATGAGAAGTCATGCGAATTTTATTCTCTGCTCGCATCTACTGTAATGTTGAAATAGTTATTGTGTAACAATTCTTGTTAAAATAACAGAGTTTTCCGTTAAAGTAACAGAGTTTGTTTGTTAAAGAAACAGAGTTTGAATGTTAAAATGACAGCACTTATGTATTTAAAAAACAACCACCCTGTTTAAACTAAGAAACTGATATACGTTTTCCAATGGTTTATTAAAACATATAAGACGGCACATAAATGTTATTTACAGAAGAATTCATATATTATAAATATATATATTATTATTCATACATTATATGATGTTGTGACTCAAACAATATTTATTTTGTATTTCCATGACAGCGAGATATATAATGTTTGGTAATCTGGCAATAAGAAAATGGTTGTGTTCTAAATTTACGTTGCGTTAAAGAATTACGTAAAACTTTGTTACTCTCTGGAAATATGTGTTAACGTTCTTTATAATATATTAATTCTTCTGTAAATAACATTTATGTGCCGTATTATGTGTTTTAATAAACCATTGGAAAGCGCATATCAGCTTCTTAGTTTGAACCCACCCATTTATTAAAAAACAGTTTCATACATTCATAGTAGTTTCAAACAGTCACTCCAGCTGTCAGTTTTTTTCTGTAAATTTAATTTTTTTAACTGTGTATGTTTAGTTAAAATTATCTGTAGCCGTACATATATTATTGAATATGAATAAAAATGTAATCTAAAAATTGAAAACCAGCTTACCAGTGTCTCTCCACCAGAGAAACAGTGTTCCAGTTTGTTGAATCTATGAACATTTAGATTTTCCTGCACAAGTGATTTGTATATAAACGTTCCAGCACAAAACGTATCGATGGGGTATTTTTCTAAAATCTGAGAAAAGATAAAGATTTTAAAGAAAAAGTGTTTTATTTTAGATAGTAAAATAGTTTCAGAATGAAATAATGTAACCATTCTTCTGCAAACACAAAGGCTGATCACACCTCAAAAATATTTATATAAATATTCCAAATGATAGAGCATAGAACGGTTAAAAAATAATACACCAAAGCAGAACATACATGAAAACCGAACACAAATATATCAGAGACAAAAATATAAAGGATGCCTATTCTCATTGGGACTAGAAATCGATTAACAGTAAGTTGTTTTGTCGCTAATAGATGGCGTTCAATGAAATAATTGCGTATCGTTTCAGTTGTTGGATTGGAGTTGGATTGACGCCATTATTATAAACTATTTTACAAAAATAAAAGTTTATCTGCTTGATTGATATCTATGCAAATCTGCTATTCTTAATCGTTTTACAAAACACGGATGATATTGTTAACTTTACTTTCTGAAACACTTATTTCCCTCATTCAAAACTCTCTGAAATAAACCCCAAGTCGCAAAACCTAAAAACTTTGCCATAAATAAAATAACACTTGTTATTGCTGTTATAAATCGAGCATTCTATGAGCGAACCTCACGTTTTTTTGTTTTGTTTATGTTGTAGAGTTGCACTTTGTAATCTGGCAATTTCTCTTTGGTATATCAGAGTTTATTTTTTAAATAGTTTTCTTTTTTATTTCAACGTTCACATAAGATCGTCACTTAAAATAGCTATCACCCTTATTTTACCAATAATTACAACATCCGCTCTATTCAAAAGGCTGATGTTGTTTTCCCGTAGTGAGATCGGATAGTGGGATCGGATAATGAGCTTAAAAAATTAAAACGAGTTTGAATCTAAGAAACGCAAAAGTAACTTTATTAAAAGCTAAGCAAGCTATAGTTTATTGTTCTTATTTTTTCTTCATTTCTCTTTCATATTTATGAAGTAGTTTTATCTGAGTGCTTTACATATAAAAGAGCACACACATTTAGACATAAGATGTATCAATACTTAATCATAAAATTTCATATCAATGAACTGTTCGCTATTTCGCTTTGTTATACTCTGTATGCCTTACGAGTGGAGCATATCTTACTATGGTTGTCATCAGCATAAAATTAATAAAATTATTTAATTAATTATATAATAAAATTATATATATCGGTGTTTAAACATATTGAGTGGCTCATAGAATTCCTGGCGATTTCCCGTGGCGAATTTTTTAAATATCTCCAAGTAAGTTTTTGAAATCTCGCTAACTGAGATTCTGGAAGGTATTTCGGGGAGATTATTTTGAACATCCAATCACACCACGATCACACCATAAATTCCTTAAATCTGATTGGTTATTTCATATGTATACCTACACGAAAGTTGAATTTCGTTAGAAAAGAGGTGAAAGGGTTTATTTTTTTGCCATTTATTCTTCTGATCTCTTGCTGTTAGAATCATCGTTTTTATTTTATTTTTAACCATTATTTTATTTATTACCGTTATTATTTCATTTTTAATTTTTTTTTGTGCGGTAACGGTTGAAAATGTCGAGTCAATTTTAACTTTACTGAATGCAAAAGGTAAGAGAGTGATAAATTATGGTTTAACGAGATCACCGAAAAGCTTAGTAATATTTTCCGAATCGCTTTGGTAATGATTTTGGAAAAATTAGCAATAAAATATAATTGCCGGCCAGGTGGCCAAGCGGTTAGCGCGCCTGACTGCGAAGCCAATGGCTGCGGGTTCAAATCCTGCTCTGGGCATGGATGTTTCTCTCTCTAAGTGTTGTCCTCTATTGTGTGTGATGTGTGAATGTGGCCCACCCTTTTAAACGGGTTTGTGGCAGTGTGGCGTGGGTAATGTTGCTCGCCTCCGTGACTTTGGTTCACAGGTGCCCACTGGGTAACGGTGCCCACTGGGGGAAATAAGTAACAATTCTGGCATCTTCCAAGGCGAAGAATAATGTTCAGTGCCCACTATTTGAAAAAAAAATATATTTTCACAATAAATGATAAAATTTTGTAGTTTTACGATGATATTTAGAGTATGGAGTTAAAACAATTTGTTCGGTTACCTATAATTATGAAAACAATAAGTTTTCGGTAAACTGATACGCTGGGAACGAGAAAATAACAAATACATGGTTAAAATACCGTATATTTTGGTTTATTAATCAGAAATATGTTTTTAAATTTTTTTTTTTATTAGAAATATTATTACTTGTAGTATGGTAATTTTAACCGAAATTTTTTCTTCATATAGTAAATAATATCAGCAAAATATTGAAATTTCCTGTTAAAGTAATTGATTTAAATAACATGGAGTAATTAATTAAAAAAACCTTATTCAATACCATAAAATCGTTTTTTAGAAAACCTGTTCAATTAATTTAAGATTTTAAGACAGCGACTTACTTGAAGTGTTTTCTTAGCTGAAAACCTAGGCATTTCATGAACAAATATGCAAGCACCTTGCGTCCAAGCTCCAAATAAGTTATAAGCTGTAAGAGCCCAGCCTGTGTCAGTCATTCCCCAAAGTATGTTGTTACTTGTAAGATCTAAATTATACCTAAAAAAATGCGAGTTGACAAACACTGAGAAAAAAGTATGGTCAAAGCTACCAGAAAATTTTGTAATATTTACTATGTTTCTGACTTCATGGGAACACCAAAAGTTCGCCAATTTTTATCGAATTGTTTTGGTAATGATTTCGTTAGAATTAACAATGAAATATGGTTTTATAATATGTAGTAAAATTTGATAATATTATTATGATACTTTGGAGCATGGCATAAGAAACATTTATTCGGTTAAATTTACTTTTCAGAGTTTGTATTTTTTACAAAGTAGAAATAAGTATTTCAATTTGGAAAATCAGAAATTCGTGTAAATCATTACCATATGAACTAAAAAATTAAGGAATATATTTTTTTATCGTATATTTCACTTTTATTCCTGACGGTATTCTTTACAGTAAAATCTATTTTTACCGAAACATGTTACGGAACAAAAAGTCTGATTGATTATAATTATTAGAGTAATAATCACCATAAAATTACTGAATCACTCGAATTAAATAAATATTACTGGGAAAATTGCGGTATAATATTTTACAGTAAAAAGGGATTTTTCGGTAAGATGGATTTTACAGTAGAATAGATTTTGCGGATGATGCACCCAAAGTGCTGATATTTTATATCGTAATTTCGTCCGGAATTACTGACAGTATGATAAAAATGCTAATATTGCCAATTTCTTACAGTAGTTTCAATTTTTAAACCAACTTTTTTGTCTTTTTTGTAGGACTAATTAAAAAATGTTTTACTCTAATTTGCATTCCCTTTTATATTTAACTAATGATTATCATTTTCTAATTAGAATTAGAAGCGTTGTTTTACTTTTATAATAGATCGCATTTTTTCTTTTCTTTTATAACTTGTACCGAGTGTTACAATTGGAGATCCGGTTATTATAAAAATGGCTTTTATTTAAATATCAAGGATGATTTTCATCACTTCTTACTAAAACAAGACACTAACGATTCCATCCATTCAGACGACTTATTATATGATGATAATAGACTTGATGAAACATCGAAAAATTCTTCAGTCAATAATCTAATTCAAACTTCTCTACTTTCGTATCCTGTAACCAGTGCACTGTAAAAAATGGATGCTCAAATTTCGTGAAACTTTCTTCGTTTTTGACAAAACCGTTTCCTGGTCTTTGCTCCCAGCGAAAATTCCACTAAAGTGGCATAATAACTATTGTTACTTCTTCGAGAAAACGAATTTCATCAATATTTAAGAAATATTTCGTCATTCTACTTTTTTTTCCAAAACAGAAAAACCTCGTATCGCCTAATGCATCTCACTTTTCTAATAATTTTGGGAACCACCACCAGTATCTTGGGCGTCAAAACTTTTACTCATTGAATATCTTTTTGTTTCATTTTTCAAGATTTTCAAATAGAGGTCAGCACTTGATTTATTTATAATATTTTCTTACTGATTTGGCAATTTATATTTTATTTTTAATTGGTTTTTCTAACTGTAACTATTTTTATTTATAAGTGGGCGTATCATTTTTAAATCTTACTATGTGCACTTTTAAGTTGTGTTTGCTGGTTGATTATTTCTCCGTGCTTCTCAATTCTTATAATGATTTTCTCTTATTTGTCTATCCATTATGTGACCCTGGGGCACTGTCAGTTTCAGTTTTTCCACTGACAACAAAAAGGCTCCTGTGTGTTGGTAGGCAGTGTGTCCCCTGATGAAGTTTTGTCTTGCCAACACACATATCTTTTGTTTTTATTGTTTTTTTTTGCTTTTTCCTGCTTTAATTGTTTTTTTGAATAACTGAGTTAAAATAAAGCAAATTTTGTATTAGCTGCTTTAGGCTACTTTTCCATTTTGATTTAATGTTTTAATTTTTAATTTACCTTTTGGTCTTTTTCTATATTCGTAAATTAGATTCATTTTCTGATTAGATTGGGCATCATCGTCTAATAATCTTGAAAACTTTATCTTGGGCACTATATAAGTGAATAACTGTCATCCAAATAACACAAGAAGCAGAGGTTTAGAACAGAGAGATAAATAACACATATACCCCCAGGGAGATTTGACACCTGAGATATTTCTGGTATGAAGCCAAGTCCTTGACCGCAATATAGCCCGGTCGGCTTTTTTCGTCACTTTATTTTCGATCTTCTGGCATTCATTTTAGTTTCATCATTCTAGTTAACAATCTCCCCAATGCACTGCGATGAGGTTCTGGATAGAGGAAACATTTTCGTCGGATATTTGAGAGTTCGCGTTTCTCACAAAACACGTGATTTTTAGACGAAATGAGTAACAAAATTAACGAAATATATCGCAATGATTTCCGAATTGACAAAATGGAGAGTTTTATTTCTTAGAGTGCAGTTCTGATTTCTCAACAAAAACTGAATCTTATATTTCCCGTAATGGTTTTTCTACACTGTTCACAATAACTCGGTCGGAAAAAGTCTGTTCTGAATCAGTTCTAAAAATATCGTCTGCCCTTTAATTTATCTTGCTGTACTGATTTTCATTATTGATTCAGTTAGCTTATTTTTTTTATGATTCTTACTGCCTACTTAAAAAATAGAATCTTCAATACGTCTGACATTTTTCTGTTCTATATTATATAGTAATAGTTAAATTTAAACTACATTAATAATTAAATTTATTCCAGATTAATACTTAAATTTTAAAGCTGTTTCATTATACTTTGCTTGATAATTTGCCGATTAAAAAAATTTTTTTGTTTTGATGAACGCTTAAATATTATAATGAATGCGAAAGAATCTTACTTGCCGTAATCTCTTAAACAAATTCCATAGCTTGCGTGAGTATGTTCTACCATTTTTGGATTGCTTGTTGTTCCACTTGTGAAGTATATTATCATGGAATCATCACTTTTTGTCAGAGTACACTGCAAATACCAGAACAGTTTAGATTCCAATTTCATTCAAATTATATTTTTTAAATATATTTTATTTTAAAATAAAACTATATCAATGAAAATTGAATTTTAATTCTGAATTATTATGAATTATTTATTAGTTATACATTGTTATACATTGATTATTACTAATTATTACATCGATCCTTAGTTAGCGTCATTTTATTAATTAAAGCTATAGTTAATTATTATGTAAATCCTTATTTAACCTTAGTTATTATCAAATTTTTTTAAATAAGATTTATAACTGCAATGAATTAAAAATATTCTAAAGGCACACAATATTAAATTCTGGATCATACTACGGTATAAAATACTGGCAGTTTTGGCGCATCATCCCTAAAATCTATTTTACAATAAAATCTATTTTTACCGTAAAATAGTCTGCCATAATTTTTGCAGCAATATTAATTTGAGTGATTCATGGATTTTACGGTAATCATTACCTAAAATATTTCAGTATATTAGTTTTTTTGTTCATTAACATGTATCGCTAAAAATGGATTTTAAGGTCAAAAGCGCCAGAACCTTGAGTTAATTGTAGAATAGTTTGCATTTATATTGTTGATAAAAGAAGAGGCAACAAACAAACGTAGATTCTATTGATAAGAATAAAAGTAATGATAAAGTAATATAGAATTAAATCAGAAAGAGCATGAAAATGCATACCTGCCAACTTTTAATACTTTCAAGGATTATTTTTCACAGTGGTAGTAAAATTGAATTTGAATTACAAGTTTAGACAGAAACATAAGTTGTATTTTGAAAATGCTTAGCGGATAATCATGTAACTATTGCATGTCAAAATATATGCTTAACTTTTTTAAAATTAGTGGTGGTCGAAAAGATAATAAATTAAGTTTTTAAATGCAAGGAATATTTAAAAAGCATGCATTTCACTACCACTTTAAATATAGAAATAAAATCTTACGCCAAATGCGTAAAAGTTTGCAGGTATGAAAATACTTTAAATTTATATTATGAAAAAACTTGAATGTACGAAGAAGATAAAACGGAAAACCAGCCTGACTCACTTTCTAGCATGTTGAATATTTATCTATACATTAAGTATTTATTTCGAATGATTTCGTATTTTCATAGAAATAAAAACTTATTTACGGAGTAATTAATTAGACTAATTTTTGATCCTTTATAAAATGGCTTTAGAAATTTTAAACATAAAGAGTGCTAAGGTGCCGCAAACTGTCATACCAATTATAGGTGATGGAACTTGCCTTTTTCGAGAAATAACATATATATATATAATCTGCTAGGTCTGTGCTCAGACGGCTGTGTCTGTAGTTGGCTCGATGAACGCGTCAACTCACGGTTGCGATGCTTCGAAAAATAGACTCTCGCCAAATGTGAATTGCTTTCAGTCATTCGATTTCTGCATGATGAAGGAAGCAATGCAGCCGAAATTCATAGACGAATGAGTAAAGTGTACGAAGAAAGGTTCATGAGTGACAGCTAAGTACGAAAATGGTGCAGGTACTTTGATGCTGGACGCACAGATGTTCCGGTCAGGGAAAGAAGTCAGTGTCTACCGATGATCTTGCTCAGCGCGCGTGGACCAGAAATTTTTACTGTCTGCCATTTACAAGTACAGGCGATTCATGAAATCGTCGGTTCACAATTTCTAGTTTGAGTGATTTGATTCCGGAAATTTCCCTGTCAGCTCCTTATACCATTGTGAGGTTAGATTTGATATGTATATTATATAATGGTATCTTACATTGTTCAGTTTAGGAACTTGCCAAGGTCTCAAAAAATCCTATTTAAAAAAAGGTAAAAATTTGTCCCATGTGGCTGCTTGATTAAGTGAATCCGCTACTTAATGGCACAAATGTCTGAAGTTACTACTATCTAGCATTTACAAGTTCAGCTCTTAGTGAGATTGCTGTTAGTGAGCAAGGGGCTCATATCGTGACTGCCAGACAGTATATTGTTCCAAGTAGGAAAATAATACAAATTTAATATATAGTGGAAGCATTTGTAATATAAATACCTGATGATTAACAGTGTCAGTTTGAACATGGTTGAGGTCAATCCATCCAGGTTTTCTAAAATAAAAAAAGTTAGCAAAAATTAGCTTTATTATTTACATATGCATAAAAATCTGATGAAAATGATAGTACACGTGCATCCTTATTGTACAGTTAAGTCACATGATATAATGTAGTTTTCTAGACATATTGTCTATCAAAAAAAAATTTTTTTTTTGTCCTGAACTTAAAGATGTTTACCAACAATATTTATTTATTTCTGCCGTTATTATGAGTTCAATTTTGATCATTATTGAAAATTAAAGGATAAAAACTGAAAGCGGTGTTTGGTTATCGCATGTATCCTATGATAATAACACATTACGCAGCATTTCACAACTGTTAATAAATAACAACTGACAATAAATAATATTTACTTTAATTATATGCTTTTCGTAAAAGTATGTCCAGTTAAAGCAATGGATAATTTAATGAAATATTCTTAAACAATATTAGGAATTAATTTTTTGCACAATTTTATGAAGTAATATTTTTGGCTTAAAATATTTTATGAGTTTTGAAAGTAACCAAAAATGAAAATTAAATTTTGAAAAAAAATTGTGGATTAAGTTGCAATGATAATCCAGAAAAAAATTAATAGGTTTAAATTATATTCCAATATAATCGGGAACTAAATCTATGGTGATGCAATAAAAAATTGGGAATTATTAATCGAAAATTCTTTAATATTAACGTAACAATACGTGTATCTTCAAGAAATAAAAAATAACTGCATCAATTGTGGGGTATCTCCTTATTATTCTATGAAATACAAATTATTGTAAGAGTAGTTATTAATTTAAAAAACTACTCAAATATCGTTAAATTTATTGAAAGTTGTACTCAATTTCTTTTACTTACTTTCCGAATTTCCCAAAAAATGATATTGACAAGTGGAAAATCAACTTAGAAAAATGGAAGAAGATATAAATATTCACGTTTGCTACGTTCTGTTAAAAAAAATGGAGAATTTATTGTCATCTAGTCTTTAAATTGTTTACAAGTTTCGTTAACTACGAGAAAAACTATAAAATAATGTTTTCTGATGCTATGTTAATATATTCCAACAGAAATACGAATGTTCGTATTCGAAAATTGTACTCCACGTTGTTCCGTAAATGGTGCAGGTATTAAATTTTTTTAAATAGTTTTTCCCGAACAATAGTAACATATGTTTAAAAACTTTGCAACCAATTTTTAAATTTTTTTGCAATAAATAACTTCTTTTCTTCTGTAAAATGCAGAAAATCATTTCCATCTCCTTCCGTTTTTTAATTGATTTATTTAATTGTCTGATATTTATGGGCAGCTGCGACTTCTAGCAATATAGTTAGTTTTATTGCGTATTAAGTTAGGAATTACTGCTATTGGGTTTCATTATTCTTCCTTAGTGAACTTTTTTTTTGTTATTTTATTGCGTATTTCACGAGAAAATGAAGAGCATTTTAATTAAAGGGAAATTGAGCAATATATTACCTGATCGGGTTTTCAGCTACTATAACTTTATTCTTCAAATATTTATATGAATTAGAAGCTGTAAATGAAAAAAAAAATGGTTTTTGAAAAGTTTGATTTCAATTCACTTTGTATTAGTGTTTAACTAAATTCAGTCTTTTAAAATATCCTAAGTAGCCATATTTTAATATTGTTGTGAAAGCTTGGAATTTAAATTTTTTAAAAAAAAAACTATAGTTGATCTTAAAAGAAGTTAAAATTTATCGTTCATTGATCTCCATGGAAGAATAATAAAAATTATGGTTTGAAAAAGTTTATAATTTGAACGCTAAGAGTCAAGTTAAAAAATTCTTTGGGTGTCTGATAATTGCCAGTTACTTAAATCGAATTTATTCCGCGTTAGTCGTTTACAAAATTTTTTAAAAGTTTTTTTAATTAAGTTTTTTTAAGAAAGTTTGAATTTTAAGAAAGTTTTTTTTAATAAACTATTAAAGTTAATTTCAAAAATAGTACAAATTCCTCTATTATTAATCTTCATGGAAGTATAATAAAAATCATGGTTTAAAAAATTTAAATTCGAACACTAAAAGTCAAGCTAAAACAATTCTACTGTGAGTCAGAAAATTGACTGTTATTTAAATAGAATTTATTCTGTGTCAGTCGTTTTATTGAAAAAATGTTGAAAATTTCTAAAAATATAAAATTTCTAATTTCTCAAATCACGAAAATAATTTCTAAGAATGAGACTATTATATTGTTACATCGAACTAACGATTTTTGATCATACGCTGTTGTTAATGTTTGAGCTTACATCAATGATTTTTTTCCCAGTATTTAATATTTTTCAAAATATTGAATTTGTTGAATAACATGTTAAGTTCAAACTCAAATAAGCTTTTGTAAGGATCAATTATGTATCAATTTTGTAACCGTCGCTGAACACCCGACTAAAATATGAGTTTACGACTACCAATGTTCAACTCCGTAGCCTTGTAATTTTGAACCCAATACAGAAGACAAGGAAACTACTGGATCAGCACCCCCAGAGGTATTGATTTGCCATGAGAACTTAGAGGACTTTGTGACCCCGACAGATTTAACGTACAACAGTCACCTTTTAATACACGGGGATTCTTCGGCTGCCTGGATTCGAACTCCCGTTCTCAAGAATACGAGTCTAACGCCCTACCAACCAGACTATCCCGGCCAATTACTGATCAATGATCAATTTATGAGTTTAAAAATCACACGAAGAAAAAAGTATGAGCAAAAGTTCTGGAATATTGCAAAATTTGTTGTGCTTCTAGCTCTATTGGAGCACCCAAAAGCTCGGTAATTTTTACCGAACCGCTAAGGTAATGATTATGCTAAAATTAACAATAAAATATGATTTTACAATACGTGATAAAATTTGGTAAATATAGTAAAAATTGATAAATTTGGTAATTTTTCCTCGATACCTTAGAGAAAGGCAAAAAACAATTTATTCAGTGAAATATACTTTCCTGTTTTGTATTTTTTACTAAATGTGTAGTAATAACAGCTATAATTTTTAAAACCTGAATTTCAATAAACTATTACCATATGAATAGAAATGAATGGATTAAAAAACGTATATTTTGGCTTAATTAACCAGAAATATGCTTTTTTTGTAACCAGAAATTTCATTACTATACAGTACGGTAATTTTTTCCAGAATTTTTTTCTCCATAATAAATTTGGCGATTGTTTTTCTGAAATTAATTTATAAGAAGTTAGTAAACCTCATTATGACAAACGTACATTTTAGTTTTGCAGAGTAGCCACTTTCCAGAAAATATTGAAAACTAGTTAAAAATAGATCAAGGGAAAAATTAAAAACTAGTAAAAAAAGATCAAGGAAAAAATGTTTTAACTATTTTCTATCGACTAATAGTATGAGAAGTGGGATAACTTAAAGACAATGATTAAGTAGTTTCTAAACATACGACTAAGTAAGACCAGCAATGTTACTTTATTTTTTTTAAAGAAAAAGTTTTTACGGAAAAATACAAACATTTATTGCAGACATAAGGAGATCACGTAGAATAGAATATCGTATACATATGAACTACTTACTTCATCAACAATGTTTGCTACCGAATCATGAACTATAATGCATTCAGCTTTTAAGGATTCCATGCGATAAATTAAATCTTTTACTTTTAGTTGCATTGTTGCCGGACTTAAAATGGATCCTAGAGAAAATAATTTAAGAGGGTTTTAAAATGTCACAAAGCAAAAATTTTATTATGTTACTTTGTTACTTTATTTTTTTATGTTACTTTTATTATCTTCGTTATTTTATTTTGTTACAAAGTATCTCGTTTATGTGTGAAGGTGGAATCTTTTAGTAAAGAAATTGACAATTTTCCAACTGACTAAAACGCTCAAGCTCCATCCTTGATGACAATGTAAATTTCCATCAATATTTTTTGACCTCTGTAAACAGAATTTATTGTCATTTAATTGCTTATCATATTTATTGGTGATTCAAAATTGACAACTTTTCAACTAATCAGTGCACCAAAATCTCCCCTGGAGCTCTACAATAGAAGATATGATGATAATATAGATATGAGATAGATATAGATGACAATCGAAGATTTAATCGTTTCTTGAACTAAACAAAAAAAGACCATCTAGGCATATTATAGACGCAAAGAATTTATTACCATATTATCGCCAAAGAGAAATTATCACCAGCTTCAAATTTGACCAATTTTTGACCCCCTAGTGCACACAAATTTTAACTGGAGCTTTCGCTGGATGACTATACAAGCTTTTTCTAACTACTGCAAGCAGAATTTCTGGGCATATTGTCGCAAAATAGAAGTTATTATGAGTCGAAATTTTTTCGGCCCCTTAGAATGCTCAATTTTTTACTGTAAATCAATGCCTAATTAATTTACATTTGCTTTCTAGATTACACTTGATTTCAAAATTACATTTGTTTTCTAAATTGTAATTATTTTCTAAATCACATTAAATTACATTTTCATTTTCAAAATTACATTTGTTTCCTAAATTACATAATACATGAATTGTATTTATTTTTTAATGAGTTCAAGGATCTTTTATTGAAAAAAAAATCGGTTACTTTTCAGTTTAAGCTAATTAAGAAAACATAGCTAAAAAAGGAAAATGAACTAAAGACAATTGTTAGAAATTGCGTAGAGGAGAAAATAATTACATTTCTGTCATATCTATAAAGAAAAAAGAAAGACGCATCATTTCCGTAATAAATTATAATCAGTCCAAGAAGTCTTCCGATGTCAATTTAAACAATTGAACTAATTTTTCCCAGATCAAAAATGATAAACGTAGGGTGTAATCATACCTGCAATATACTTCTATCATCTTAGAATAGTCTCTCAACGTTTTTCGAAACTTAAACTTTTTATTTTTAGGTTTGTCAAAAACAAAATGTTTTTCTCTTTCACACCTTGATAAATGTAGTTTTTTTCCAAACCTTTATTTTCTTTTATTATTTTTAAATTAGAGCATTTAGGACATTTATAATAACATACTTACATGCATTTGTCATGTGAGAATTTTTTATTTACATGCATGATGTCGCTATGTTATAATATGACATGTGTCTTTCATATTATACATTCAAAAAAGTGGATTATATAAAATGAACTAAATTAAAAAATGAAATGAAAATGGATTGGTCATGTTCTACATGAACCACATAAATTTAAAAGTAAAACAAGTCTTTAATTGGAATCCTCAGAAGAATAATAAAAGTGAAGACCAAAAAATACTTGGCGTAGTACGATTATACATAAATTGAAAACAATAAGCAAGACACAAAAAAGACAAAATATTTGGCTAAAATGGAGTGAGATGGAGAGCTATTATAGACTCCTAAAGATAGACTATAAAAATTCATAATCTTCATTCATATCAAAATTAATAATTAATTAATCTATTAGCGTTCCCATACGGGAAATTTTACCATATCCTGGTAGATTTGACCATACTGCTTTTTCAGTGTATAAATTTTATTTCCAATAAAGTTCGTGTGATTAGAATAACCATTTTATATATGATGAGGACATGAGTTATCCATTGTTTGATCATTGTCCTATATAGTTAGAAATCATAAAATTTAATCTAAGAATTATAACTGTGCTTTTAATTTAAAACATTGGTAATCACTTTTGAAAAAAAAATTAAACTATATTCATATGGACTAAGTAAAAAGCCACAATATTTGTAATTCAGAATGAGATATGAAATACATTCAATTTTCGAATTCACACTTCATTTTGAAACAAAAAGATAAAATAAAGGAATTTATTAAAAAAAAAAACAGTTTTTGTAAAAAAAAAGTATTGACACTCATTTGTTTATATGAGATCTCAAATTAATTTTGAAGCATATTTTAAAGCCATGATATTTCACACTAATTTTCCGTATGAATGCCTTTGTGATCTGCTACTCATGAACAATAGGCATTTATGAGACAATATACACCTGTTTTATTCCCATTACTTTCGATTTCATTAATTCAAATTTTCATGAATAAATCTAGGAGTGTCATCGTTTTCAATTTAACCAATGATAAATGACATGAAAATGCTATTCCCGAAAGGATTCGGAATTTGAATTCATATCACGTCGTACTTATTTATCTTATCTATATTTTAAATTTTTTACTTGATTTTCTGTTATTAACTTATCATAAATTTATGTTTCAAAATTTTCTTAAAGAACTTTATTTCAAATATTTGACTATTAATACTGGAGAAATTTTTATTTAAATTAATTTATATTTTATTGCAGTAACAATTATCTATTCGAAATCGTCAATAATTCTTTTAGAATAACGCTACTGTTATTAAATTTTATAAAATTAATTATTATGTAAAAAAAGAGATACAAATTTATTGATTTATTACATACTGGACTTCGGTTTCCCATTTAGGTTATATGCAATTTTTTTTATTTTGATCGAACCAGAAATTTATCTTGTTAAAATGAGTATGACGTTATTTATATGGATCTTACGGTGCTATTTTAAAATATAAGAGTGTACAAATTATAAACGAAATTTTTAAAAGATCTTCCGGGGGTGATATAGACCTGTTTTAGGTAGTTTTTGTAGTTATAAAGGGGTAAGAAAAAGACCTACTGCTTGGTTGTTTTAGTACACTCTAAAAATTACGGTTTAAAGTAATGGCACTTTGGGTGTCTTATCCGGATAATGGATTTTACGGTTGATGTGAAATCCATTTTACAGTAAAATCCATTTTTATCCTAAAATATTATATCGTAGTTTTTACAGTAATATTTGTTTAATTCGAGTGATTCAGTGACTTTACGGTAATTATTACTGTACAAATTACGGTACTGTTGCGTAGCTTGTTACTATAAAACGTAAGCGTCGATGCCTCCAACCTAAGTGCCTATGCTTTTTACAGTAGTTCAATCCGGATTTTCGTCTCCGACTTTCAAGAGGTTAGCTGCGCACAGTATTAATCGACATCGCAAACGTTGTTATTCATACGTAGTTAATCCCTGGTCACCAAGTTTTCCCAGAACTTTTCTAAACAAATTGACTTTACATATATATATATATCTTTTTAAATTAAAAAAAAAATCTAATTGACTTTACATTATTTATTTCACAAAAATACTCTTCACCAGTGTAGCGATCAACAAAAGAAGCACGTAGTTTACATGGCATTCAAAATACATATTTTAGACTTTCTCCTACATGTCCTTAAATTTATTTACGTTCATTTGCTATTGTTAAATTAATACAGCACACAATAAATATTAAAAAATAATAAATCAATTTTTACAAAACTGAAATTTCACTTTAGCGGTCTTATTTGGTTGTTATTAGCAATCGATGGTTATTATTATAACTATGATTAGGATATATTTTTAAAAGTATCAATGTAGAAAATACCTGGCAACAGGACTTAGCCTTATAAAACTTATAGTGAAGGGAATACTTGGCAAGTGTATACCGAATAATAACACGTAACCTTTAAAGCATCAGTGTAAAGTAATCGGAAAAATGTATGCAAGGCAGTGGTTCTCAATCTTAAAAACATCAGAGTAGGAAATACCAGGTAATAACTCGTAGATTATAGCCGAGTTGCTAATCCGGTAATTAAAAATTTAATCACTAATCAACCTGTCAAGAATAACCTGTATTCCAGACGCTGATATTATTCATAATATAACGTTGGAAAAAAAACATAAAATTGAAAAAAAAAAACTATCTCATTTACTAAATGATGAAGGAATGTCCGAATAAAAAATATTGTATGGTTTTATAATTGTCATATGCACCGAAGAGCCATTACATTATGACCACCCTGCTAATAATATGTAGGACCACCTTTAGCCCTCAAAACTGCTGACACCCGTCGTGGCATTGATTCCACAAGGTGCTAATGGGTAGTCTGAGGTATCTGGTACCAAGCGCTCACCAACTGGTCTTGCAATTCCCTCACATTGCGAGGGGTTAGCGTAGCAGCACGAATTTGGTTTTCCAAGTAGGGCTACAAATGCTCTATTGGATTAAGGTCAGGTGAATTTGGGGGCCAAGACAGGACTTGAAAGTCACTGGAATGTTCCTCGAACCAATCCATGACGATTCGACCCTTATGACATGGTGTATGATCCTGTTGGTAAACACCACCCCACGCAGGAAACACTGTTGCCATGAATGGGTGAACCTGGTCTGCAACTATGTTCAAGTAGCTTGCAGACGTCAGGGATTGTTCTATGAACATTATGGGTCCTAATGTGCCCCATGAAAACATTGCTCCTGGGCGAGAAACCATGAAAACCTGGGCGAGCCCAGTGTTATAGATCGAGGATGGTCATAATGTAATGGCTCTTCGGTGTATGAAATATATTTGGAAACTTATTTTGAAGCTAAACTACACAGTACAAAATTCCGGATCAAATTATGATGCTAGTACATTTTATCGTAAAATCCACTTTTACTGGAATATGTTGCGGTGAAAATGTAACAAAAATCTGATAAACCGTAATTTTACAGTAATAAATACAATACAACTTCTGAATCACTTTAATTAAATAAATATTACAGTAAAAATTACTGTATATTATTTTACGGTAAAAATGGATTTTACTGTAAAATTTATTTTGCGAACGATGCCCCCAAAGTGATGGTTCAAATTACGGTATAAAATACCGTAATTTGAACGCAATTTTTTACAGTTGAAATGCCAAACCTGAAATCACCGCCTCAAACGGGATAGGTATGTTCCTTCCACTCCTTCGCCTGAAATAAAGTCATTTTCAAGCCTGAAATAAAGCCTTAAATAAAGCCATTTTCAAGCCTGAAATAAAGCCTGGAATAAAGTCATTTTCAAGCCTGAAATAAAGCCATTATAACCTGAAATGAGAACAGAGTCGGGACGTCCTGTTTTTAACAAATTAGAAAACAGAATAGTTTGTGATTTGAGTGCAAGAAGGGCAAAAATTTTAATCTTATCGAAATCACTTTTTGGAAGGAAGTCACTAAAAAGTAGACAGATGAAGTCTTAGAGTTGACAATGTTTACCTTGTTGTTGTAGAATGTTTGCGCACCGAATTCGAAGTGGTTTCGTTACGAATTGCGGACTTATATAAAACATACACATCTAAGTACGCACGTACTGTGTTTGATTAGTTATTACTGTTTCTGAAATACCGTTTTTACTTGACGCAGTTAAATTATTGAATTTTGAAATAATTTTAAAATTATTAGAAGTTAAAGGTAAGAAGATGGAAATTAGTATAATTCTGAAATGTATGGTACTCTTCAAACGATTTCTGTTTTCCAAGTATTTCTGAAATGCGGCCAAACTATAAAACAATTTAAGAAAGTAAAGCTTATCTTTAATGTAAAAAAAATTGTAAGATCTGTCTTAAATGAAAGTTTATATCGAATAGCGTAACTATACACAATATAAATACCTTGTTATGTGAAATAAAAAAATAAAACTAATCAATAAAATATTAGTTTAATTCTTTGGGTTGAAAAGCTTTAGCATAATTTATTTCTAGCAAAATATCTTTCTCAGCTTCACTTGGATTGACAGAAAATAGTTTTATTTTAGCATATTTAGAAATATTCTAAGCATATTTTTAAATATTTCTAAGCAATTTCTCAAAATGTAACATAATTTGAAGAGTGAAAAGAATTTATAACAATTTACATTTTTACTCGCGTTATTTACGCTTAAGTTATTCTGTATCTTGAAGTTAAGGCACAATTATTTACAAAAACTGAATTCAAGAGAATTCACGAACAAGCGCAAATATTTTACCTTAATGAAATTTGAATCAGCGATTATATTAAGAGTTTCTAGAAGACCAATATCGAGCTGGAATAATTCTAACCGAAAAAGTGTTTTGTGTTATTGAATTAAACGCATGTTTATATAACACAAAATGGCGGTAATTGAATTATGTCAAAGTACAAACTTGCTAGAAAGATAACAACAAACATGGTACTTGAAAATTATTATTTCACAAGAATTTTGAGAGAGATAATTACAATATCTTATTTACACAGTATTTCGTAAAATGTTTTTTTTTTTATGGAAATAGTAATAGCAAGTTGCTTTAAATTAGAATGAAATTTACGTGCTTAAGATGTAATTTTGTTAAAAAAGTTCTAAATATGCTTTAAATTAATGTATTTTCATTTAAAATATTTTATGTAATGTTTTTATCTAAAATTAATTAACAAAACCAAATACGTTTTTTATTCACATTTAAATTAACTGAATTAAGCTTTCGGAGGCATTCATATTCATGAAGATATGTCTATTGCATAATTTCAAGTTTTTTTTTCACTTTTGAAATTGCAAATTAATATTACATTCGAAAATAAAATTTATGTCTTACCGTTTTTATTTGGAGTATTTACAAATATTACTTGACATTGTGATATTTTAATTGAATAATTCAAGTTTCTGGAATTAAAATTCAAATTATACAAATTTCATATTGGGCTTTAATAAGATAACGGTTTTAAAATTGAATCAAAACTCTTGAATTTTTTATTCTAAGTAAAATAATTTTGTTATGATATATCATTTTTTATTAGCATTCTTTCTTTTTTACAGCTAAATTAAATGTAAATTTTGAGAAATTTGAGTTGCTGCGTCTTCAAAATTATGGTTCATTTTATGTATATTAATGACTTTTTTTTCAATATTCTGATATTAATTTAAATTAAAGTATATTTTTCGAAAACATTAAAATAATAAACTAAGATATTTCTGAATCTTTTAAATAGAGATATCGTTTTAATCTTATTTCAATCAGTTCTTTGAATGTATGTGCTTGATATTGTCCTTTATCAATGAAATGTCCACATTTTGGGAATATTTTTCAAGAGGAAGACAGAAGAAGACGATTAAAAGACCATACGTTTAACATCGTGATTAAATGTCGCATTTAAAATTGTAAATGACTCTTAAGCATGCATATGAATACATATATATTAGTTAGTTAAAAATGAATTTAACTTAACATTCAACTTACTCTTTAATATTATCAAATTAAAGTAATACGAAATGAGATAGAAAGAAATGTATGCTTTGATACGTTCTGTTTTGGAAACCAGATTTCCATTAAATTTATTTCAAAATTAGTTTCTAAGTCTGTCAATAGATGGCATTCTTGACCCGAAAAAACTATAAAAGAGTGCTTTTTGTTGCTCGTTCGACCATTCTAACTGAAATATTTGCACTGTCATTTAAATGAGCTACAATATTCCAGCAAGTTTTATCTACATAGAAACCACTGTTTTATGGCTCTGCTCTGTTAGTTACGACATTTGTTTAAATTTTTTTGGACCATTTTTGAAAGTTAGAGCATTTGAGTACATGGAAGCATAAAATAACCTTCTCATTATACACTGTTTTGGTACAAGATCTCCCAATAGATAACTGACAAGTTTGATTATTTTTGGAACAAGAGGTATAATTTTCCTGGATTTTGGGATAAGTTGTTTTTTCTTGGATTCTTAAGAAAATGATATCAAAATTGTTATCAGTAAAAATAGTAAATATATGTAATAATATATGTTAATAATATATATTATTATCTATATTTATATGCATAATATATATGTTAATAAATAACTATATATATAATATATATGATAATAAATAAATATAATAAAGAATGTTAGTAAATAAAAATAGCAAATGTTAATGGAAATAATAAATAACAATAATTTGAATCTGTAAAAAAATTTAAGAATCTAGGATCAGAAATAAACTATCAAAATGACATTAATCCTGAAATCAAAAAAAGAATAATCGCAGCCAATTGCTGCTTCTATTGAAATCTTACTTAATAAAAAGAAAGACGAAGATTTTACTTTATAAGGCATTAATCAAGTCAGTTTTGACTTATGCTTCAGAGACATGGACTTTAACAAAAAAGGAAGAGAAGTTATTAGCAACCTCCGAAAGGAAGGTCCTACGAACCATCTTTGGAGCTATCCTCGATAACAACAACTGGAGAAAAAGATATAATTTTGAAATATATAAGATCTTTAATAGTGATGATATTATTAAATCTATTAAACTAAGTAGAATGAGATGGGCCGAGCATGTAGTGAGAATGAACCCAGAACGAACAGCATTAAGAGACTTTAATGCAACCCCCTCCAATAAAAGGTCAAGAGGAAGGCCCAAAAGGAGATAGAAAGACTTTGTGGATGACGATTTACCACTCTTAAAGTAAAGAACTGGAAATCAATTGCTGGGAGAAGGAACTTCTGAGGAAGGCCCAGGCTCACAAAGAGCTGTCGTGCCAATGCTGATGAGGATAAATAACAATAAAAAAAGTAAACAATGTTATTGGAAGTAGTAAATAGCAATAAAATAGTATATAATGTTAATGAAAATAGTAAACAGCAAATAAAAATAGTAAATGTTTAACTTATTATTTAATCTGTTAGGTTACCTAACTTAATTACTTACTGCAGTGTCCATTCTAATTCATATCCTTCTTTCTTTCCATATCTTTTCATATTCATATCTTTCCTAATTCTATCTAACTTTCATATCTTCGATGAATAATTAAATACTAGGGGGCTCCGCCCCCTGCTCGCTACGCTCGCCAACCCCCAGAACTGCTTCGCAGTTCCATTGCATATTGCTTCGCAATCTTATAAAAACATTTTAACAAATTTAAATTTTAAAATAAAAATGCCAGATATTGAAATCAATTACTTAATGAAATTTATACACTTCTCTGCCCCCTTCACAATTTGATTATCTTTTCTTCATGTAGCTGAGAAATTTGGAGCTGTAGCAGAGAATATATCTCAATAAGAAATGCTTTCCCGTTTAGAATTCCGCCATNTATATGTTAATAAATAACTATATATATATTTATTATCGTAATAAATAAACATAATAAAGAATGTTAGTGAATAAAAATAGCCAATAAAAATAGTAAATGATGTTAATGAAAATACTAAATAGCAAATAAAAATAGCAAATAATGTTAATGAAAATAGTAAATAACAATAAAAAACGTAAATAATGTTATTGGAAGTTGTAAATAGCAATAAAATAGTAAATAATGTTAATGAAAATAGTAAACAGCAAATAATGTTTTACTTAGTATTTAATCTGTTAGGTTACCTAACTTAATTACTTAGTGAAGTGTCCATTCTAATTCATATCCTTCTTTCTTTCCGTATCTTTTCATATCTTTTCTAATTCTATCTAACTTCCATTTCTTTAATCAATAATTATATATTTTTTTTCAAAATTTGAAGTTTATTACTCTTTTCTTGAGAGAATGTTTAGAGGATGAATAGTCAAAATAACTCTGAATTCGTAGTTTATGTAAAGCTAAGTCTCGAATTCCTTCTGCAGAGAAGAAGGAAAATTTTATTGTGATATTTTCGTTATCATCCATGAAAAAATCATCTGCATTTAATAAATATTATGTAGCTTTGAATAATTTTATATGGACAGAAGTACTTACCAATTCTTAGGGCTGCTATAAAAACCAACCAAAATTCGGGAATTTTAGGGAGCATAACTATTACATGATCACCCTTCTTCACACCACATTGATTTTGAAGTATGTTTGCAATTCTGAAAAATTTATAAAAATCAATTATGGTGCTTCTAACTGTTATAAACATGTTTTAGAAATGTCCACTATCAACGTAGGTAAAGACTTTAGATTCTCTACGTCATAAATGTAGTTACAGTTCTAAAAATAAATTTACTTGCATGTATTTATGCTGCAAAAATGTACTATTTATATATTAGTAATTTTAAAAAATTAACTTTTTAAAATTTATGAGCAAAAATTAAGAAAAAAATATTAGAAATTTATTTTATTTATTTTAAAAGTGTTAAAAATGTCCCTCTTTGTTATCATTATTAAAATCTTGCATTTATATTTTTGAGATGCAATTTTACTACGATGAAAATAATTATAGTATTTTAATTAAATTCGAAAGATGTTTCAGGAACATTTTCATTGTTTGCAATTAAATCTTTTTTTATATTTACAATACTGTATGGTAATATGGTTTATAGTAAAAAAAACAATATCATTCTGGTTAATAAAACCAAAATTACAGTATTTAAACTATTTATTTGGTAATTTTCCATTCATATGGTAACGATTTTCAGGAAATTTTGGTTTTTAATCTTATTGCCACACATTTAGTGAAAAAGTACAAAACTGAAAAGTAAATTTAATAAAAAAAATAGTTTTCATGCTATGCTGTAAAGTAATATGATAAAATTTCCAACATTTACCTCATTTACTCAATTTTATTACATATTATAGAACTATATTTTATTTTTAGTTTTGCAAAATTTATTACCAAAGCGTTTCGGTAAAAAATTATAGAGCTTCTTGGTGTTTCCGTAGAGCCAGAAGCACGGTAAATTTAATTATATTCTAGTAGCTTTAACCATATCAGTAGTAAAATATTTGAATAATTGTGACGGCTGATATGGAAGACAAGTCTATCAGAAGGACAATTTAATATGGAGATTGAAATATGAATAATTATTATAAAAATTGTTGATTAAGGATCCAAACGTTTAACCGCTTTTCTGACCATATTTCCCTTATTGCAGCTATTCTTAACTGTTTTCAACTGTCAAAAATACATGATTATTATGAGAAAGTGCATTTATGTATTCAATTTCGCAACTTAGAATATAATCTGTATTAATTAATGCTATATTTTAGGTCAGTTCAACCTTTAAGCTCATCAGAAAACCTATCAGAACTTTGGAATCCGATATTTGGATCAAAAGTTAATAACATTTTTTAAATCTTTTTCCTCACTCTGCAATGAAATCTCGTCAAACTGACAGTTTTTCCCTAATTTACAGATTCACTTAAAAAGTCTATTGTAAACTAAAATATGATACGCAAAAAAAGTTTTTTTTAGAAATTTTATTACATATATTTTTGAGCAATATTTCAAAGATTAAATGTCCGAAAATATTTGGAAAGTACAGATATTTAAGATATATTAATGGAAGATTTAAATATTTCGGGATTATAAAAAAGACTTTTTCTCAGTGTAGAATGTTGTTGTTACCTTGTGTTTAGAAAAATATAGTTACAGATTGCGAAAGTATGAAATTTTATTTTCATAAAGATAACGGAAAAGTCTCTTTTTTTTGTATTAAGCTATAATATGAAGCTCATGGATTAGACAACTTTACATGTTAATAAATAAAAGTGATCATTTATGGTAACCTGAATATGATAGTATTAACTTTTGTGTGCTAATGGTATTCACAAAACATTAAATTGGCTGTAAAATTTAATTTAAATTGACCTTTAAATAAATTTATGAAGTGATTCAGCAATCATAATTTACGACAAATTTTAAGTTAGGATTCGCTAAAAAAAGAATTAAGTTTAGGAGAAAAACATGTGATTGAACTAATATTTTATACTAAATTAATTAAGTCAATAGGAATTCACTCACTAGAACAGTTTATTATATCATAAACTACAATATATTTGAATATACATGAATAGAACGTGGTGTTGCAATATTTTTCTTCATTCTCTTTAAAACATAGTTTGTGGAAATAATCCCAAGTAGCATGTAATATTAGATATAAAATGAAACTAGAAAATCTAACGTTATTTTGCATAAATTCTGAATATGAAAGAGACATAAAAAGTCGTTGCTTTCCTTGCATTATATGACGTTAGGTTCTATACAATATAATATTATCTAGCATTCACTGTAATATTATTTTGCATTGAATTGATGCTATATAATATTAAATTTTATCTTTTCTGTTATTATCTTGCTTCGTTTTTTATTATTGGAATAAGCAAGATGATGATTCGGATGGTAATATAATAAGTCGGAGTTATGATTTTATTCAAATTTCTGTATTGTTGTAAAACAGTAAAACATAGAACAATAGTTTTATAATGTCATTCCAGCAATACAGAAATACTAAATAAAATCATAATACCGAATTTAACCATAACTCATTTTCCTTTATCCTATTTCAAATTATATTTTGGGTCTAGCTGATTTTATAATAAAAATTTCAAATTCAACTCTGAAATAATACTTGAGTATTTCAACTTTTATTGATATTTTTTTCTTGACAGATTTATATAAAGAGTTTTCTGATAAATTGAATATCATTAATCATTATTAAATGCCCATTTTGAATTTTAAATATAGTCCTATTCTTTTTTATAAATGAGCCAATATTATCAATTACTCAATTGAACGTGTTAGTTTTATAAACTTATTACAAGTTATTACTCTAGTCATCTCCTGTTTTACTCTAGTCATTTTTCATTTATTTGCAATTTTACTATTATCATACATTATTCACATTATGAAATTGTATAATAGAAACCACATTATATAGTTGAAAAGCATTATGTTCAGTTGAATTGAATGAAAATTTTAACTTTAAGGAATCGTTTTTTCTTACTCTCTTAAAACATAGACATGTTGTTGTTGTCATATGCCATTAAGAAAAAGAAGGCGAGCTTCTTCTTGTTTTCCAGTGGCGCCAACTGTGGCAAAGTATTCGAATTCTGCCACACACATACGTCTCAACCCGCTTATTGGGCGAACCAACTCATACATTCAACTAAAGATCGTAATTTTGACCAGAACCAGAGAATGATTCTTCAATTCAGTTGCCCCACAGGTATAATTTGTTATGAGAACATGAAGGTCTATGAGACCAATCAAACTTAAGGTGCATCAGTCAACGTTTACTACATTTTGGCTGGTGTGGAACAAATTCACGATATTTTGGACATGGGGCTAATGCCCTACCAACCACGCAAAAGATAGATATATATCATTGTTTATATTCATGTAATAAAACTGCAGCTTTATTTAAAGATTTTTTCAAGATTAAAGTAAAATTACTGTTTTAATTTTTAAATTATCATTTATTGTAAGAATTGTAATGATTAAGAAAATAACTTAAATATGACCAAATTACGTACATACTTCCATAAATTTCTTCTACTTATTTTTCACTGAAATTAAGTAGAGAAAAACATACGTAACTTTATTTTTTCAGTATCTGAAATTTTACCTAACCAAAAACCTAAAACAAAAACCAAAGGCACTTATAGATATTTTCTCAGGTGATATTTATTTATTTTTTAAACCGATAGATATTTTTTAACTTTTTAAAAATAACTTTATATGGGTATGATAGAAATTTTTAATGATTGTATAATTTAATTAAAGCTACTGTGTGCTAAGCAAAAAATTTTTGATAAAAAATTAAAATAACATTTCAATTTAAAAACCAAAATTAATAAATAAAAATAAGTAATGAATATTGTGTTTTCTCTAAATAAATTTATACAAACATGTAATTGTATACTAGAATCGGAGGAAAAAACAATGATTTTTTTTCTATCACTTTTTAAAGACTGTTTGTAGAATTAATGAGAGAAATTTAATTATAATCTGTTACTATTTTAAGAGCGTTGCTATCAAAATAATTATTTTTGTAAAAAATAAGCCAATTCCATTGCTTGTAATTCGCTGATAAGAATTTATGCATCACGAAAATAAATGTTATCAAAAATAAATGATGATCTCGTACAGAGATAAGGAGATGTATTTTTTAACATGATCATTTCCGAAAAAGTTTGTAATAACGGTCGGACCAAGGGTTGAAGCCAAGAATTAGGAATTAAAAATAATATAATTGTCCCTAACAGACAATTAGAACCACGGGAAAGGTTCCATAGTTGGCGATTTATCGAAAGATATATAGCCGAAAACGAAGTATTATAATTACTAAGTATTACAAAAGTATTAAATTTGAAATAATTTGGCTATAGCATATTGGCCAAAAAGATCCTGAGAATTTATACAACTCCGTAACTAAAACATTTTTGCGGTAAGAGTAATAAATACACTCTATAACAAAAAAAAATAGACGCACCAAGAACGCTCTAAGACGAGCAAAATCGACGCTCGATCAGGCTGGAATGATGCCGACTGGGGACGTATAGTCTTTAGCGATCATCGAAGACGTGTTCGGAGTCGCACAGGGCTGAGGGGGGATCCTGCCTTCACTATTGCACGCCACACCGGCCCTCAACACGGCATTATGGTCTGGGGTGCCATTTCCTTTGGCAGCCGGAACCCTTTGGTCGTCATTAGAGGTACACTTACTGCACAACGGTACGTCGATGACATCCTAAGACCTGTTTTGCTACCGTTCCTTTTGCAGCGCCTTGGGCTGGTTTTTCCGCAGGACAATGCCAGACTACATACGGCACGTGTTGCTATGAACTGTCTGCAAGCTTGTCAAACTCTTCCTTGGCCTGCCAGATCACCAGATCTCTCTCCCAGAGAGCTTCTCTGGGATATGATGGGAAGGCGATTGCATCTGGCACGGAATGTTGGTGACCTCGTTCGACAATTGGATCGATTTGGCAGGAAATACCGCAAGAGACTATCCGGGAGCTTTATCGGTCTATGCCACGCTGTGTGGCAGCTTGTATCCAGGCTAGAGGAGGGTCAACACTTTATTGAACTTGTTACTGTAACTCTGCAATAAATTATTCAATTGTTCTGAAATTGTAATCATTTACT